ACTTGGTTGGAGATTTGGGTCTTCTAGGGCATGACATTTTGGATGCTTGATCTCCTGTAAATATCTGGTGAAGAATTTTTTCTGAAAATTAAAAAAAGAAGTAAGTTAGTCACATACGATTCACATATGATTTTTTATGTAATCACATGTGATTACAAATATTTTATTCAATCATAAAATAATCAAATGTTACTTACGAGATTTGTAAGTACAGACATGTACTTGTCTTTGATTGTTTCCCCTGAGATGTTGTTGTCGAGTATCACTATCTTTACATTTTTAAGATTAAAAATAAATAGGTACATGTGGGCTTCTCGGCAAACAAGGAAGAATATCTGCATTTAAATATGTGTGGTCATATTTAGGAAGGATATAAACTATAATAAGATTTTAATTAACTTACCAGATCAATATTTTTCATTTGAGTTTTTTCTTCATCTCCGTTCAACCAGTCGATAAGTTGTTGCTTGAAGATTTTGTATCTGTTCTCATCTTTTTCCTTTGCTTCCATTTCCATTTTTTTCTTTCAATTCATTATCCATTTTTTCTTTCATTTATTTATCTACCTTTTTCTTCTTGGCATCTTTTGTTGGTTTTAGAATTTGGATTTGGAATTGGCTCATCCTCGATGTACCTTGTCTAAATTGTGAATCACGTGTGATTTAGTGTTAGAATATTAATTTAAGTAGCTAATTTTAATCTAGTATTAGAATCACATATGTTTAACTTAAATTCATTTGGATGTTGAAGAAAACTCTATATGGAGAATTTTTCATGTCTTTATCCTACTCTATGTAGTTTAGCAATTCAACCCATGACTAATTTTTTATGTTTTTATCCTACTCATTGTAGTTTAGCAATTCAGCCCATGAGTCATTTACATTTGAATACAAATATTCTCCAGGAAACATGCTTTCAAATACATAACGGAAAACTACTCGTTTGTTTATTGTAAATAACAATTGATCACTGTAAATATAAAAACCATTTTGTTAGTTCATATTATTTGTATATTCCTAATTGTAATCACATATGATTGGACAATGTTGAAAAACTATATTTAACAGAACTTGTAATTATATGTGATTATGTTTGGTAATCAAATGCGATTAATTAATGTTTAACAAGTATGTTAAACATTAATAGTTGTAATCACATGTGATTGATTCATGTTGAAAAAGTATACTTTACATCACTTTTAATCATAAGTGATTATTATATTCATAATTGTAATCACATGTGATTAATCAATGTTGAACAAGTCTACTTAACAAAACTTCTAATCACATATGATTATGTTTGGTAATCACATGTGATTGATCAATGTTGGACAAGTATGTTAATGTTTTAAAAGTGATAATCACATATGAATAACTTACTATATACTTCCTTGCAAGTTAAACAACGATTCTCCAAACATTTCCTCCTCAGATGTCAACTTGGTTTTCAAGAAAATGGCTCGTTCTTTATAAGGAGACATCCTTACTTCTGCAGGTTTTGTTTTCCTCTTTTGGAGAGGTTGTTCTGTGATAATTTAGTTTTTCGAATCTTTAGGCATAATTTGTTTTTTTTTAAACAAGAATTTTAAATCTTTTTGGTTTTTGAGCTTGAAATTCATCCACTATAGGATTATGTGATTATGATTATATATAAAACATAAAATTAAATGAAGAGGAAATGTTATATTTATAAACATATGTGATTGTAAGTTTAAAAAACAAGAAATATTACCTGTAGTGATGTTAGTTGGCTTATATTCAGATCATATGATGGCATAGGCTCCTGTCTTGAACTTGTGGCATTAGTCTCCTCTCTTGAACTTCTTCCACTATATATTCTTTCCATTTTAGTTTTTCTTGTTGAGAATGACTCTGTGATTGTGAATATATATATATATATATATAATATATATATATATATATATATACACACACACACATAACATAAAATTAACTAAATTTAAAAAATTGATAATTACTTGTAATCACATGTGATTACATTTATAAACATTTGTTATTTTAAGTTTAAAAAACAAGAAATATTACCTATAGTGGTGTTAGCAGGCTTATGTTTAGATCATATGATGGCATTAGGCTCATGTCTTGAACTTCTTCCATTATAGATAGGCTCATCTCTTGAACTTCATTCACTATAGTTAGGCTCCTCTCTTCAACTTCTTACATTATAGATTTTTCCCTTTGAGTTTTTCTTATTAAGAAAGATTCTATGATTGTGAATATATATAAAACATAAAATTAATTGAATTTAAAAAACTGATAATTACTTTTAATCACATGTGATTGTATGTTTAAGAAATATGTTATTACAGTTATAAACATATGTGATTCTAAGTTTAAAAAACAATAAATATTACCTGTGGTGGTGTCATTTCTCTTATATTCAGATCATATGATGACATTAGGCTCTTCTCTTTCTTTTATTTATAATCGTCCACTGTTTTTACATAAATAGAGTTGACCTCATCATCATTAAGTAACTGTGATTCGGGAAATTGGATTGTGTTTCCAAGAATACTTGTGATAGTGTTCTCTATAGTTGTGTCGACATTGTTGACATATTCTTTGTTTATTTTTTCTAAAAAATAACACAAATGAAAAAATAGTATATTTTTCTAAAAAATATACAATGCTAATATGAGATTTTATTTAAATTGAATCATTATTTATATTATCATTTTACTTGAAAATGCATGCGATATGGTCATATATAAATATTCATATGTTTTTGAATAAGCGTATATGATTATACAAAAACATATCAACATTTATAGACAATATTTAATGAAGAGTTTCATATAATTTAATCATATGTGATTATCTATTACATCAAAAAGACTTAAGTTATACAAATTACATACACCCGAATTTAAAATAATTAATACATAAAAAGAAAAGTTGTCCTTCAATACAACATTTTTATCAGATAAAAATATTCAATACCTTCTTCTTCACCAACATTTTTGACCATCAATTATGTATATATAAGTAAAATATGATAATAATCATATATGATTGTACAAATATATTATTTATAATCATATCTAATATATATATATATATATATATATATATATATATATATACTCATTGTAACACCCAGTTCCAAGGTATTTCACATTTTGACCCTTGATATTAAATTAATTTGAAAATTTGGTCCCAAGGGGGTGAAAAGTGAAACTTTTAGGTGGAAGTGAGTACGCTGGGTGTACATCGTCTAGGGACAAACCCTAATTTTTAGGGTTTGGACCTTATTTAAGCATCATTATGGACTCAAGACCTTTCCCTTAGTCAGCTGCATTCCCTCTAAAGATACCCCCATGAAACTCTAGCCATCTTTGGTGTATTCGTGAGCTATTGGTTGAGTTTTTGTGTCCTTTTGGTGCATTAGAAGAAGAATAGTCTTGGTGGTACTGCATTGTTGGAGTTGGAGCCTCAAGATCCAGAGCTATCTTTTTCATTACAAGCTCCTGGAGGTAAAAAAAAGTTCTTAACTTGACGGTTCCTTTGTTAAGATCTCATTTATGGGTTGACTTAGGAGCTTTTTGTCCCAAAAACCTTGGTCTTATGGAGTATGGACTACTCCAGACCATTTGAGTTGTCCTTTTGGGCATTTAGGAGTGTGTGAAGTCATAAAAATAGAATCTTTTGGGGTTGAGATTCACCCATGCTTGAGTTGTTGGCCTTTTTATGTAGTTTCGGAAGGGTTTGGTAGTGGGTCCTTTTTAGCCATGCAAGTTAGTAAAGTTGTCAACTTTGTGGTTTAAGACGTTATTTAATAGTAGATATGAGGATTGGACGTTAAGGTCTTATGGGATTAAAACCATAGGTTAGCTTTTGGGACTCTGGCTAGTACGTCGGGCGTACTCCTTAGTACGTTGCGCGTACTGGGTCAGCAGCCCGCTTCCGGTTCAACATGCATACGCGGGACGTATGTGTTGGGTATGAGGGGCGTACACCAAATTGTAGGCCTCCTTTGATTTTGGGTCACTTTTGGGATGCAGGATTTTAGGCCTTGAAGATTTTATGGAGTTGGGCCATTTTAGAAGCTTTGAGTGCTACTTAGTTTGGACCATTTGAGGAAGGGTAAAATGATATTTTATCCTTGGAGTTAAGAATTTTGAATTAAAGTCTTGGTTATGGTTTATGACCTAATTATTAATTAGGGTATTATTTGATCATATTTAGTGCGGAGATTTCCTGGATCAGCAGTCCGAGCATTTATCTGGTTTTTCAGCAGCTTGAGTTGAGTCCCCTCCTAGTGTTTGGCGGGTCGAAGGCACAAATGCCAGCCCATGTATTATTGGTATTTGTATGTTATTTGTATGTGAGAATCTTGCATATGTTGTATGTGTTTGTATGTATACCGGGCGTGGCTCGATGCCAGGCGGGGCCTGATAAGTGTGTTGGGCGGGGCCCATCGCATGTTACTGGCAGATCTGTATCGGGCGGGGACCGATGCCAGGCATGCATGATGTATTTTTGATATTACATGGTATGTGGTATTTTGGGGAACTCATTAAGCATTGTGCTTACGGTTTTTGGTTTATGTTTCAGGTACCTCCTGATCGAAGGGGAAGAGCTCAGGATGATCACATTGCACACACCATGATTTTTCCGCTTATTGACTCTGATGTACTTTGGGGATTTTATTTGGTTTAACCTGAATATTTTATGGTTTGACAAACATGTTTGATTGATGGTTTATTTACTATGAAAACAAAAAATTTGGTTCTAAATTTTAGGACGTTACACTCATATTTACCTCCTCCAACACTCTTTGATTTTTCACCAGTAATTCGTTCTCCAGCATTCTTTGCTTCCAGATTCTACCCCTCCACATCTAAATACAATTAATTTTTTTTTAATTATATTTGATTATAACATAAGTAATCGTATCTACTTTATAAATAATCATATCTAATTTAGATATATATACTCATATTTACCTCCTCCAACAATTTGTGGTTGTTCACCAGTTTTTCATTCTCCAGCATTCTTCCATTCAATATTCTTCCCTTCTACACCTAAATATAATTAAAAAAAATTATAATCATATTTGATTATAACATATGCAATCATATCTACTTTATAAATGTATATTGTTGTTTACCTCCTCCTTCAACATCTTGTTCTTCTTCATTATGACAAATGTTTTCTTTATTCCTAGCAACTTGATCATTATCACCATTTTCATCTTCCGAACGAACTTTATGTTTCTCACAACCTGCATATAATTAAAATATGTAGTTAACCACATGTGATTGTACAAAGATATTTATAATAGTCATATATGATTGAGAAAAATATACATATGTGATTATACAAAGATATTTTTAATATTCAAATGTTATTTACTAATAGATACTTTTTTTACCTATTTTTTGAACATTCTTATTTCCCTTATCATCAATAGTTTTTTTACCAACTCCTTTATGTATATTTCCATCAAAACCTGTATATAAATAAAATCTGCAGTTAATAACTTGTGATTCTATAAAGATATTTTATAATATTCATACACGATTTAGAAATATATTATATTACTTACCTCCTTCTTTAGTATACTCACCGCCTTCAACATTTTCATCCTCGTTATCATGATCATCATCATCATCATCATCATCATCATCATCATCATCATCTTTATTATCATCATCATCATTTTGCTTTTCTTTTTCATCACCTTCTTCCTCATCATTAAAAAATTTGTCCATCATAATTTTCAAATGATTCAATCTTACATTTTTTGGGAAGTTATTTACTCCATTTTTAATCAACAACCCGAACTTCCTACACTTTGTCACAATCATAACTTCATAATCCTAAATCAGAAATAATTTAAATTTTATATCCGCATATATGATTAAACATTAAGACTATTAAAGTTTTGTTTGTATAACTGCTATAATTAATTTTACCTCTTCATTGATATTTTGTTTTACAAACTCTTCATTTAAACTTCTGGTACCAAATTCCTTCAATATTTATTTTTCGTATATTTCTATTACCTTCATCTTCTCTGATGTCCAGTGACAAATAACTGGACGTGTTCCTTGAACATTCATTACTGGGAAATGGACTCTATCTACATAAAGAAATTGCAAAAGAAGAAATAATTATTATTATAATCATATGTGATTAAATTAATTTCTTTTAAATCACATGTGATTTTAATTATTTTTAAAGTTAACAGATTCACATGTGATTAAGGTATTTTGTATTTATAATCATATGTGATTTAAAACATGATGAAATAAAAGAGAAGTTATTAAACGTACCACTAAAAATGTAGATGGTCTAACAAATTTTTTTGTTGAATTCGATGAATCAAAAGATCGTTTGGTTTTAACCAAATAGTCAAGGAAGTAGGAGCACCAGTCAATGTTGCTTATATTTGCTTTCTTCATTATGTAGTTCATGGGATATGCGTTTGCTTTTCCAGTTGAGCTTGATTCTATAAGAGAATTGGTCAACAAAGAAATGAAGTTCATCTCGAAGTTCATATTCGCATTGTCGGAGGTAACAGTGTTAATCTTTATCTCATGAAGTCTTATCATTTTTTTTATCAAATTGTTTTGTCCATCCTTCATAAGTTTTTTCATCTTCATTTCAAATGGAAGTTTTGAAAACTTTTTCTTTTCTAAAGGAAATCCAAGTATTTGATTCAATGATTCTCTTGTCACATCAATCACAACCCCATTTTGAAGAACAATTTTCATTGTTGTTAGATTAAACTTCTCAAGAACAAAAGAACTTAATGCTTGTATGACTTCAGTCAGCTTCATCTTTAATAGTGCCCCAAAACCCATATGCCTCACACAATCTTTTTGAAGTTTTTTGAAACATTTGATAACTGATAGCAAAGCTCCTGGTGAACACCTATTATAAAATACAACAATTAATGAATTTAATCATATTTGATTTAAAACATAATTTAGTGATTGATTTCAAAGAGTTGTTTACTAAAAAACATAGGAAATATAACCACATGTTATTGAAGTAATAAGATTTTAAAAGAAGTTTTAATCACATGTGATTAAATAAGTTTAATCCTAATTATACCTTTGTTGTGTTTTTCTTTTGACCTCTTTTCTGTTGAGTCTTCTTCACTCACTGCTTTTGCTTTTCTTTTAGTTTTCCCTGAAAACATATAAATATAGATATAAATCACAATTGATAAAACAATGTTATTATAATAAAGCATTCGTTGTTATTAATAAATATTAATCACATGTGATTAAACATTTTTTCCAGGATGTTTCACACATTATTTATTAATAGAAAATCACATGTGATTTAACAAAGTTTTGACAATGAAACACACATTCTTCATAATAGATTTGAATCACACATGATTTAATGTACACAATATGTTAATATGTATAATCAGCTGTGACGAATTATACCTTTATCTTTCTTTTCTTTAGATATTTTCTCAGTTTTTTGTTCTTTTGTAACCTTTTTTTTCATTTATCTTCAGGGTTCTCTAAAAACATATATAATCAGAAAATCACATATCATTAAACCAAGTAAGCATTTAGTGTCCATATAAGATCATGTCAAAGATCATATGCTAATCACATGTAATTAAACAAAGTTTTTTTTGTTTTTGGTTTAGGGATCTCTGAGATATATGAATGTAGATATAATCAAAACATTGGATATGAATCAAATCAAGTCATAATAAATAAATATACATTTTTCATAATATATGCTAATTACTTGTGATTGAACCACATTATTATATGTTTTGTGTATGTGAAAAATGGTAACATATGCTAATCGCATGTGGTTAATCATTAGAAAAACGCATATGAATAAACCAAATAATGATAAATAAGCATATAGTGGTCATAACAGATAATAATGCTATGTGATTGAATCCCTTTTGGTACATAAAAAATACATTTTCCAACTATTTTTCTTTGTGATTTTCTTGTGATCTCTTTCTTTGTAGGCTCTTTTTTGGTTATGAAATATATAAATAAAGATATAATTAGAAAATTATATATGATTAAACCAAAAGCATTTAGTGTTCATATAAGATCATGTCAAAGATCATATGTTAATTATATGTGATTAAACAAAGTCGTTTTTGTTTTTGGTTTAGGGATCTCTGAGATTTTAATGTAGATATAATTAAAAAATTAGATATGAATCAAATTAAGTAATAATAAATAAATATACATTTTTCATAATATATGCTAACTATATGTGATTAAACCATAGTATTGTACGTTTTATGTATGTCAAATATGGTAACATATGCTAATCACATATGGTTAAACATTAGAAAAACACATATGACTTTCTTGAATCCCTTTTGGTACATAACAGATAATAATTATATGTGATTGAATACCTTTTGGTACATAAAAAAATACCTTTTTCAATTATATTTTTATTGGTGATTTTATTGTGATTTCTTTATTTGTGGCCTTTTTCTTTGTAGGCTCTTTTTTTTGTTCTGAAATATATAAATAAAGATATATTTAGATAATTATATATGATTAAACCAAAAGCATAAGTTGTTCATAACAGATTTTAAATCACATGTTGTTAAAAGATATTAATCATATGTGCATAAACAAGATTATAAATCATATATTATGTAAAATACATGTGCTTGAATATCTTTTGTTCTTATAATTATATGTGATATAATTATACCTTGCTCATTCTGCTTTTTTCTCTTCTCTGTATTTTCTTCTTCATTAACACTCTTTTTTTCAGTTCGTTTTCCCCTTGTAAGCTTTTTTTTTCTTGTTATTTACTTTTATCTATGAATGAAAGATATAATCAGAATTTCATATATGATTAAAACAAGTCATGTTATACCTCTTTTAGTTAGTTACATGTGATTCAACAAGAGTATAGGATGTTTTATGGTAATCATGTGTGATTAAACAAGAGTATAGGATGTTTTATGTGTATAATCATATGTGATTAATATATGCCTTTTTCACTTAGTCTTCTGGCTAATTGTTTTGTGAATCCTGATTTTTTATCTGATACATATAAATACAGACAATATTAGAAAATCATAATTGATTGTTCATAAAAAATGGTAATGACATGCGATTGGATATCTTTTTGATTTATATATTAGATGATAATCATATTAGACAATATGTGAATAGAAAACCTTGAATAACTTGTTCAACATCAAAAACTAGGTTTTTATGCATTGGCTCCTCTTTATTGGTTTTTGAGAAGTACAAATACATGTACTATAAGAAAATCACATATGATTAATCCAAGCCATGACAAATAATAGTATGTGATTATACTAATCATATGTGATTTACAACATAATATTACCTGTATCGACTGTTTTTTATCACTTTTTTATTTTGTATGTTTTTTCATATGTTTTTGGTTTTTCTGCATGTATAAATCGAGATTATTAACCCCATAATTATCAGATAAACAAAATAAACAGTCATTAATGAAAACCACAACATAACAATCAAAGAACCTACATAAAAAGATAGATAACAATTAAAATCTACTATTATTCAACTTCATCAGGTCAATTGTCAGTATATAATCACAAATGATCAATTGATAACACTTGATAAGACTCGTAAACGAAAAATCGAGTAAAAATTTCCAAAAAAACGTACATAAAACACTCAATAATAGTTAAAATCGAGTGAAACATAGCATAACAATCAAAAAACCATAGACAACAGTTAAAATCTATTATTATTCAACTCCATTACGTAAATAGTCAATCGATAAGACTCGTCAACGAAAAATAGAGTAAAAATTTCCAAAAAACCCTACATAAAACACTTGATAACAGTGAAAATCGAGTGTTATCAACAAATACCATTTAAATACCAGTTAAAATCGAGTGTTATCAACTAAGATCTTTCAATAAATGTTTCTATTTTAAAAACAGGTGACGAAATGTCAAATAATAGTGTAAAACTCGTTTTAGAATTGTTGTAAGTTGAAAACAAAATCAAGCAATGTGTTACTTTTTACCTTGATATGTTGCACTTGTTCTCGCGAAATCAGTCGTTGACGACATTTTTGATTGTATCAAGTTTTTGGTGTTCGATTCAACGATTATCAACGAAGATTTAGACTTTTTTCGAGGGTTTTCGGTTCAAAAAAGTAAAGAGAGAAATTATGGGGAACAACGAGTAAGGAAATGAGGGGGGGAACGAGTTGTTATGTGACGAACGAATACGTTTACAATATTTCCCTCGTGTTTTTAAATTTCTTTAAGCTTTGCATCTAGTTTTTGATTTAATTACAAAAGTGCCACCTTTCAAATTAAAGGAGGATTCGTTTTCTCAAATGTTATCGCCATAAGAAATGTTTTCGATTGAATGCTTCCATATATATATATATATATATATATATATATATATATATATATATATATATATATATATATATTATATATATATATATCACGGAAAAGAAAACAACATGTTATACCAATTGATTAATCTTGGTATGGTATTGGTACAATGTTTCCAATACCATGGTAGTATCATACGTACTCATTCTATATATATATATATATATATATATATATATATATATATAATATTTAAGAATTTTTGGTGTTTAATATTTAAGAACTTTGATATTAGCATCTACTGTATTAATAAAGTATAAAGTTTTAAACTCTTGTCGGCTTCCTCCACTATTTTAACTTACACAAACTAATGGTAGAAATAATAAAATATTTTTTGATCCAGTTTTCACTATCAACCATTACAAACCTCTCATTTAGATAACCCTCATTCACGTTTCACAATGTTCAAGAATATAGATTCGTCATTCACAAAACCCCCCGTACATGTTAATATATATAATTACCAACGTGTACCGACCAAACTTATTAGTAGCCAAACAAGTTGGTATCAACTATATTTTGTACGGTAATGGTACCAAAAATTTTGTACCACCTATAAATTGTATGGTACATGGTTTACTAAAAAATGATTGGTAACGTACCAATACCACCCATATATATATATATATATATCTATATATATATATATATATATAGATATATATATATATATATATCTATATATATATAATCTATATATATATATATATATACAGAGAGAGAGAGAGAGGAAAATCTCCAATAAAGTCTTAATATCTTGGGCCAGTTTACGGTTTAATCCCAAACAAATTTTGTTTACGAAAAAAGACAGATTACGGCTAAGACTTTGGAATAACCCTTCGTGGCCGGTTTCACAAATTTAGCCGGTATCTCGTCTTTTTTCGCTAATTGATCCAAATTGTGGGGCTTTTTCATTAACGAATCAAAATATTAGGGCTTTTTCATTAATTTTTACCAATAACCAAAATGTTTGGAATTTTTTGAAGATTACCTTTAAACTAATGTATATTATATGATCTAAGTTAATATGTACCATTCCTCGTCTTCTTTCTTGCGCTCTTTATAGGCTCACTGTGTGTTTTCGTCGTCATCTTTGAACCCAACAACAAAAAGCTCACTCACAAGCATCGTTACACCATCGATTTTCCAAAATCATCCATTTACAACTTCACAATCATCTTTCAATCTCTAAACTTAGATTCCTTGTCATGAAAAAGGTGGAGACGGTACTTTGAGTAGTTTTTGGAATGAGATATGGTTTGGTTTTTTTGGAAATGAAAAATAAATTAGAAACCACTCACCATGACTAGTAAGGAGCTAAAAATATGGAAGGGACAACAGTTACATTTACAAGTCTAGAAAAGAAAGGGGCGGATAACACCAATAAACCTAATTACTAGGGGCTAAGTTACCTTTATGCACACACCATAAAAATGATAAATACATGATATTATCAGCAATCTTTAGTAATTTCTCACCATCCATATACACCAAAGTAGACAGTATAAGATGGATGTAATGATCTTGCATTTTCTTAGGCGATTGCCCCACTTTGCAGCATACTCAACGAAAACTACAACTCCAGAAAATTGCCCAGTTAGGATACCACACCACCTCAAAATCCATTCCCTAACAGTTGTGGAAAAATTGCAATTGATGTCAACATATTTATGTGTTCGATTTATAATATGCAGTCAGATTCTATTGAACATGTTCATTGATTATGAGTGTAACTTGATTTCTTCCATTTAGCATTAGTTGGTTATTGGTGGGGGTTGATTGTTGTGATATGTGCTTGGGACATAATACCGTCACTTGATGGTTCCGGCTTGGTAGAGTCTTGTAATCACATAAATGAAGAGATAACGTCAGTCGACGTCTGAGAGGGGGGTCCCGGGATGAAGCTCTGATGGTCTAGTTAGTATGTATATGAGAATAAGGTAATTAGGGTTTTGGAGAGTAAGGAGGCGGTCCCTTCTTCTATAGAACAAAAGTCCTTTTATACATGTTGTTCTCTACACATGATCCTAATGGTGTCCTTTGTCCCATCTGGGCCGATAGGACATGGAGGAGTCCCATTGGTGGATCGCGC